TTGATGAAGATCATGTAACTGTCAATGTCAGATTATCACGTTCTTAAAAGGCGTACAAGGTAGTATAAAACAGATTTCACACGCCTCTGGGAACCATGTCAAAAAGCCGACTGCAGTAAACCTGGCCGTTATTTTCAAAACAACTATATAAAACATACAGTCTTCAGCGAAAAGGACAAAACTGGTGCACAATGATACAGTCACAAACTCAAAAGAAGTGCCGAAAAAGACTAAAAACTCCGAAGGGTGGGTGGATGGGGAGGTCTTACTATGGTAGACAGTAACAAGAACAATTGCGCGCCTTACAAATCACATGACCTTTGTTAGCTCCAGGCCCCAGCGGTGTGTGACAATTTACATTTTCCACTGGCTTATTAAACACTTCTCCTTTGCTCCTGTAGAGTTTACAAAACCTTATTCCACTGTTACAGGTTTTATTGGACCATTGTTGTACCTACACCGGACAAAACCAAGAAAGTCAAAGTTTCTGTTGTCAGAGTGAAGCCAGAGAACACTTCCCTAGCACAAATAGAGATGTTAGAGCAAGTATTCTTGTGTCCAAAAAACGAAAACGGTTTATCGTGCGTTCACACAAACTACGGCATTGCCGTGACGGTTAGCGTGGATCATGTCAAAGACCAGTTAACCTTCATTCCTATACCAGACGGACAGTATGATTCTTTTGAAGAGGCTGTGACAAGTTTTGCCACCTTGGACAAGCTTGTCTGCGACTACAACCCGCCTCCTAGGAATTCCCCAGCAGAGATTGTCGAGATGCAATCTGTTTTGGACACTTTGCAGAAGATGGATGATGTAGTATCGATTACATTCAGCATTCCAAGATCTCCAAGTGGTGGAATTCGGGCTCTCGTGTCCGAGCTTGTTACAGTCTTACGGACACTCAAGTATTTGAGCCCGCTGTGTGATACGCCTGATTTATACTCTAACTTGGTTCAGATGGCAGTTCAAAAGTTCCAAACCGATTATAATGCAAACTGTCAATCAACTGTCCCTCAGTTGCCAAGCGACGGGTTACTTTGTCGAAACACTTGGACCGCACTTCAGGGAAGACTGGGGAATCTTCCAAAGGCTATTATTACACTGACGGAGTATATGTAGAGTTTTCTGAAAAGAGATTCGAAAGCTTTTATAAGTCATCATGAATTTTTGCAATCACAGAATCACTCTTAAAATAATTATAAACAGAAAGAGCATAACAACTTCAGATGTCAATATACTACTATAGGAAATAATACATAAGTATGAAGAGATAATCTCAGAGGCGAGCACAGCTAACGAGTACATCCGACGTTTTCCGAAAATTTCCAAGGATTGCCGAAGAGTCTCCGAATTACTTTCGTTTAAATAGTAACATTGATTATTGTAAGATAATTTGATATTTAAGGGAGGCTAACTCGTCTAAACAAGAAGAAAAATGCTTGAACATTCAAATCATAAATAAGGTAACTTGTAAAGATCGATTTATAATGAAAAAGGTTGGAAACCTGCTTTTGTTTGATGTCGTACATCTAGATTAGTCCAGCCATGAAATCGTTCAGAAATTGAACGTTTTCTTGCATCGAAATATTCAATGAAACGTCATTCTCTCATACTTGCTATAGTTACTACGTGTCATAGTCTCCAAGTCTTTTAAAATGTTATCAAATTCACAGCTTGTGTAGGCACAACGTCATTACGTGTTAGTGTCTCAGAAGTCAGTTACCAGTCGAAAGTAAAACACACAGAGTTAAATTGGATCACATATTTTATTGAGATATATTTTCACTGAAACTGTTTGAAGTAAAAAAAAAAAACATAATTTCCTATTAAATAAATATTATATACATATGTGATTTCTTGCATGACTCAGGAATT